TACATTTCTTCTCACCTTCGACTAATTATAAGGATTAAAAAGAAATCGATCCAAAGGTAATCAAAGCAGTGGGGAAAAACTATCCCGGCTGTTCAAAACATAGCGGCGCAGGAGGTGACATCAGGCAGGCGCGTAATATGACGCTATTAATCCGGTTCCGGTTTCGTATTTTAGAAATAAGAGTCTACTATCGGAAATATGCAGATAATACAGCTTCCATTGGTCATTTTTAATCAGAAAAACCGAAATAAATTAGATACTACTAGACATTAAACTATTAATAGAATCTATAATGCTGCAAAATCAAAGTTGGTGCACAGATTCTTCTTTTATTTTCACGAAGCTGAAGTTGGTTTCCGATTCTAGTGGTCCGTGGGAAGTGGGGGAGCTGCAGCGGCCCCTAGTGGCCAGAAGGAGACTTACATTTTTTGTTAAAAATACTTGTACAAAATGTATAAATTTCTTATGAATATTTTGGAATATTATTAAATAAAAAAATGTATTTTACTATTGCGTGTATTTGGATTTTACTTTCATTATTTTGAGGCCTAATCAACACAAGTTCACAAATTTATTTGCGAATAACTGATTATTGTAATAATTGTCAACTAATTTAGTAATAAATTAATCCTTAACTTAAGTTTAGAGACTGAAAAATATGCCTTTAGGAGACAGATCAAAAACCTTTGAGCGGCAATTATACCAAAATTGTAAACAAATAAGAAAACATTTTTTATTTAAGATAGAAAAGCTTTTAGTTAATCGATTAATCAAAATCGATTTGCAAAACACTTGCAGCCCTAGTTGTTATTGTGTTATTGTGAAATTTAATTAATAGCGCATATATATTTACCTGAGAACTGATTATGTCTGTATGTTACAGACCCTGGGGTCCCAAGTTGGACATACGGGATCACTGTTGGGTTTTTGGAGCGTTTGAGTGCCAGTGTGGGCTGAGGTGGGCAAAACGGGTGGTGTGTGTGACATGATGTGGGTTCTGGAGAACCAGGGGCTGCTCCACGGAAGTTGATGCGGGCCCAGAGTTTTCCGTCTCTGGGGAGAGGAGCTCCATTTGCTCCGCTGGTTCTGGAGGCGCAGTGTGTGGATCCCAGTGTGTAGATAAAGTCTAATTCTGAATTTTAAATGCCCACCTACGTTCCCCTTTAATCTTTCCTATTTAAAAGTTGAAGTTGAAAGCCGGTTATCTCACAGGATTGGGAACATTACAAAGTTCTCTAGGGCCCGCTTCATGGGCCCCCCTGGTTCTGGACCGTGGCTCTGGTTAAGCAGGCCCTGCCGATCACTGTCCCCATGGTGTCGACACCTGTCCCACTGGTTCTGAACCGGGCCCCATGGTTCTGGAGGCCTGTGGAGAACCAGGGCGGTCCAGGGCCCGCTGCATGGGCCCCCTGGTTCTGGAGGCCTGTGGGGAACCAGGGCCCGCTTCATGGGCCCCCCTGGTTCTGGACCGTGGCTCTGGTTAAACAAGCCCTGCCGATCACTGTCCCCTGGTGTCGACACCTGTCCCACTGGTTCTGAACCGGGCCCCATGGTTCTGCGGTTCTGTGGGGAACCAGGGCGGTCCAGGGCCCGCTTCATGGGCCCCCCTGGTTCTGGACCGTGGCTCTGGTTAAGCAGGCCCTGCCGATCACTGTCCCCATGGTGTCGACACCTGTCCCACTGGTTCTGAACCGGGCCCCATGGTTCTGCGGTTCTGTGGGGAACCAGGGCGCTTCATGGGCCCCCCTGGTTCTGGACCGTGGCTCTGGTTAAGCAGGCCCTGCCGATCACTGTCCCCATGGTGTCGACACCTGTCCCTGGGGTGTGCACTGGTTCTGAACCGGGCCCCATGGTTCTGGAGGCCTGTGGAGAACCAGGGCGGTCCAGGGCCCGCTGCATGGGCCCCCCTGGTTCTGGCCCAGGCCCTGCCGATCACTGTCCCATGGTGTCGACACCTGTCCCACTGGTTCTGAACCGGGCCCCATGGTTCTGCGGTTCTGTGGGGAACCAGGGCCGTCCAGGGCCCGCTTCATGGGCCCCCCTGGTTCTGGACCGTGGCTCTGGTTAAGCAGGCCCTGCCGATCACTGTCCCCTGGTGTCGACACCTGTCCCTGGGGTGTGCACTGGTTCTGAACCGGGCCCCATGGTTCTGGAGGCCTGTGGAGAACCAGGGCGGTCCAGGGCCTGCTGCATGGGCCCCCCTGGTTCTGGACCCAGGCCCTGCCGATCACTGTCCCATGGTGTCGACACCTGTCCCACTGGTTCTGAACCGGGCCCCATGGTTCTGGAGGCCTGTGGGGAACCAGGTCCCGGTCCATGGGCCCCCTGGTTCTGGACCGTGACTCTGGTTAAGCAGGCCTTGCCGAGCCCGTCTGCATGCAGGCGGTGCGCTGTCCCTGGGGGGAGGATCTCCATTTGGTCCCCTGGTTCTGGATGCAGTTCTGTGGGGAACCAGGTCCCGGTCCATGGGCCCCCTGGTTCTGGACCGTGGCTCTTGTTAAGCAGGCCCTGCCGAGCCCGTCTGCATGCAGGCAGGCGGGCCTGTGGTGCTCTGTCTCTGGGGAGAGGATCTCCATTTGGTCCCCTGGTTCTGGATGCGGTTCTGTGGGGAACCATGTCCCCTGGGCCCCCTGGTTCTGGAGGACAGTGTGTGTTGAACCGGGTCTGGCCCATGGTCCCTGGTGGTCGTGGAGGACCAGGCTACAATTTATCTATATTTTTATAAAAATAAAAACCTCCAGTCACATTTCACAGTATAGTTCAAAAAGCACAACCGGGAGTTGAACCCCGCACCGCCGCTGGGGAGGCGGACATTCTACCGCCGGACCAGTCTGGTCACGTGACCCGGAAGTGGGGATAGTTTTAATTTATTCAACACCTTCACCCTTGAGTGGTGAAGAGAGAACCAGCTCCGGGAGACGAACGGAGCTCCGCCAGCTGCACGCTTGTTTACCAGACTTTCCGCCGTTTACCAGATTTTCAGTCTGGTAAACAAAAATGAAGTTACCTCACCCCCCCCCCCCCCCCCCCCCCCCCCCCCCCCCGTCAAACGCTCTGAAAACACCGTAAAAGTACTTAATACACACATCTGGCCCTCTTGGGTCCCCTTTGTCTCCTCCCCCCCCACACACACACACAGGCTAGAAACCGTTTTTTGCTATGTGTTGTCATAGCAACAATAAGACTTACTTTACCCATCGGAGCGACGTAATGGTAAAGGTTTTTCTGGTTATTTGGCTTTTATCAGAAAGAAAGACAGAAAGAAAGAAAGAAAGAAAGAAAGAAAGAAAGAAAGAAAGAAAAGAAAGAAAAAGAAAGAAATAAAGAAAACAAGAAAGAAATAAAGAAAGCCCTCCCTCCCGCCCGGCCCATATAACCTACCATTACCAAATACCAAAACGAAAAGCCCAACCTTAAACTTTACACGGTATCTACAATAAAAAACAAATACAATCCGCACACCTCACCCCCCATATGAAATCCAATCCTCAAAACCACAACAGCCCCCCACCAACCATGTCCCCCAATTTCTCGACCACTTCCATTGCTACCCCCGAATTAGGCCGACCTATTGAACCAACCATACCAGCAACAAGATAAACCAAAAGCAAACATACCCATACCCACCCCAACACTAAACCCCCAACAAACAAAAACCCACTCCCCATATACCCTACCCCCCCTTCCCAACAAACCACCCAAATCACCTCAACACTAGCCTCCGCCCAAAAACTACCCGCATCTTCCCCCACACTCACACCAAAAAACCATACCCCCCGCCTCATAAATATCCATAAAAAAAAATCCCGCGCATCACCCCCCACTCCCCCCCATCTTCCATACACCACCCCACCAAATAACAACATCCAACAACCATCCTAATTCCTCCCGATAAATACCCTCAAATGAAAAATAAAAATCCAAATACAAATTCTTCACCCTTCGTGCCAATAAGATACTAAGGCACAAAAACGAACACGAGACGGCATGCCTTAATGCTCAATTTCCGATTTTTTTGATAGACATCGTATTTTTTTGGCATGTCCGTTCACACTTCCAGAGGTATATGCGACTTGTAATGTGATCTACTGATGTGAACTGAAGAACTTTCAACCGAATTGATCCCGCATTGCGCACTCGAGGACGCGATGACGTCACATGTAGCAAGCGTCCTCAGTGTTTGCGGAAGTAAACATGACTCGTAATACCGCAGCGTATATTGCGTTCTTTAAGTTCTTCTCCAACAGGAGCAGGCACATTACGAATGAAATCTTTTTAAGAAGATCAAAAAGAAAGAGAGCCAGATTTCTTGCAATGGCGTTTTGTGGGGCAGTAATAGCAACGTCCGTACAGAGCTCTCACTGAGCTCTCTATTGACTGCTCTCTGTGTTATCTTCCGCCATGGTTGTTAGTTTTTCCCACCTCCGCTTAGTAGGACGCAGATTAGTAACGTTTAGTAACATTTGTCAAGTATCAATGACGTGTAGGTCGGATGAATGCGACCTGGCCGTACAGACACAGGTCGCATTTGAAAAGATCAGATACGTATCGGATTCAGGACCACATATCCAAGTGGCCTGGGTCGCATTTGAAAAAATCCGATCTGTGTCGTTCAGACTGTCATAAAAAGATCAGATACAGGTCACATATGGGCAAAAAAATCGGAATTGGGTCACTTCAGGCTGCAGTGTGAACGTAGCCTTATATTGATGATGCATCATAATACCCCCCCAAACACCAGACGTCATTTAGACATTGCTTTTTAGGCTAAATTTGGTTGGTCCGCCATAATCTTGATTTAGTCCTGAAATGGCTAAAAATTGGGCTGTGTTGGGTTGGTCTGGTTTTGTCCCACTTTAGTCCAATAATAGATGTTGAAATGATTTCCCATTGAAAAACCAGATGGGTTGGCAGTATAGCCTAATGACTTGTATTCTCAGTTTAAAGCAGATCCCAACTCACAAGATAGTAACCATAATAACAAGGTTGAAATGTATTAATAATGGCAATATTTTTATTACAGGCCGACTCTGCCATGATCGCAAAAAGGAGGCTCTCTTCTGAAACTCTGATGATTTCAAGTATTTTGAAAACTTGCGCCAGCGAAATGGAGATTGTAGCAGCTCTACCCAGCATCCTCCAGTTTTGTGCTTCGTCTGCTGTTGTTGACGAAGAGTTGAGAAAGCTCCTTCAAATGCATCAGGAATCAGTGGAAAGACTGGAAAAGCTTGAATCTCAGCAGCAGGAGACAGATGAAGCAAAGAGGAGCGAGTTGCTTCAGCTTAGAGGGAGCATAGTAAAATCAGGCAAGGATGTCGTTATGTTTTTCCAGCTACCTCCGGATGTTTTTTTAGGCTTAAAAAAACAGATTACTATGGAAGCAGGTGAATACGAGCAGAAGATCATCAGGATGCTTCAGTTGTATCACAAATATTGGGTAGAATATTCGCGTTCTGACAGAGAACCGGATCCAAGGGCTGATTTAGTTCTGGACAAATTGATTTCAGCGGAAGCAGAAGAAGCTGCAACATCGAAAGAACTAACTGAAAAGGTGAGCTTTTAACATGAATTTTGTAAGCAACTTCTCTTTAACAGTTTAGTTTGACACATTAAACATACTTTCACCTGTTCTGTCTTTTTGCCTTTCTTGCAGCTCCGACAGCTGGACATTAAGTTAAAGCAAGAGGAGAACATTTTGGCTAAGGATGAAATAATCGCTGAACAGGAAAGACGAAAACACGAAAACACGAAAACAGGAAAACGAATTCAAAACGGCTGAACTGGATCTTCAGCTCAGCACCTTGAGGCAAGAAAATTGGAAGAAACAGATGAGTCTGCATGAGGTGAGTTCGCTGAGAAAGTTTCAGGACTTATACTACTCTGCAACCTATGACATGAATTTTTAATGTTACACCAACAGAGAGTCATGCATTTTTGTGATTTTTTGGGGGAAAAGCCAGACATAAGAGTGCATAACTCTGAAGTAGTGTCAAACCCCAAATTTAAACTAGGATCTATTATCCCCAGATTTTGAAAAAAAGCTCATTCTGCATATCCAAGCTAGAATCTAGACTGCTTGTTTTTTCTTGTCTGTTGCATTTAGTAGAAGGCTTTCACCCTAAAAACTGGGGGGTTTGCCGAGTCGCTCTTGTTTTTAACATGTTTTTACTTTGTAAAGAAAAAAAATAAATAAATATGTTATTATTGAAACACTATCTTTTTTTTCCCATCTTACTTCACAATAACCCAATGTTGGTGTGGTCACAAAATATTCTAATTTAAACTTAGCTTTTGTTAAATGACTTTTTTAATGAGGTAAAAAGGTGTATATATCGACTCCAGGTATTAGGGACTGCTGTTGCTACTGGTGCTTGTTTTTTGTTTTTGTGACAAAAAATGAATCGATGAGAAGAGAAAATAAAGGACCTTCTAAGACAGTTTTTGAACCAGGATATGACTAGTGTTTCCATGTAAAAACCACAACAAATTTCCTGCTAGCAAGACCAGCTAATTTGAACTCTAAGAAGTTATTCTTGTTTTATTATATTTTATAAACCATTCATTACATCAATCTTCAGACATAATTCCTCTCCGTAGAGGGAAACTTATTGAGATAAGATTTTTGGCTGATAGGATTATTTTAAATCGCAGTTCATAAATCCCCCCCATCGAAAACAACTCCCCCAAACAAAACCCCACCTAGGATAAAAACAACAAAACACAGACAAAAAACCAAATAATAAAGACCTCCACCGGCCACTTAGTACGCACCTACAACCGGAAAAAGCCCCATCCCTTTTTCTCATCATGAGCAGGCTCACACCAAAACCTTACCACGCGCAGCCGAAACAAATACTCACCCATTCTCCCTTCTACCTTCCTCCTCTGCCTCCGAGGTACCATAACCGACCCCCTCTTCACTAAAGTAGTAGCCCGTGCATCACATCCACGAACCACCCCAGCCCCGTAGTCCTTCCGTACCAGGCAATTCAAAGGACCTCCCCGAAACCCAATAAAACAAGACAAACCTAAATCCAAATATTAATATTAAAAAAAAAAAAAACAAAAACCCCCTTTTGATTAGTTAAAAATGTCTGTATAGATTTTTTGTTGCTGCTCATCAAACTTTTCATTTTTAGTTGTTTTTGGTTAAACACGTTGAATGAAAATGCTAAACTTACCTGTAATTGAGAAATAGCCCACAAGGTGCACACTAGATAATTTAATTTCAGATTTAGCAGCAAGTAAAGTAGCTGTCAAATTGTAGTTTACTTATACATTGAATCCTGGTAATGTTTAAAACTGGTGTTCCTTAGTGGCATAATAAATGTAATGTTTGGTGTGCAATTGTTCTGCTGTCATATTTTATGAGTTGTGTCAAATATTTCCACATACCTTTATCAAGTGAGTCAAAAATGCATAACCAACGTTAGAATTAAGAATGCCATACAAACAGAAAGAAGTCATTGAATAATCTCCTACCGCACCCACAACCATGTAGTGATCATTTTAAACTACTTTGTTCATATCGATGCAGCTATTTGCCTTTCAGAAAGAAATTTTCTAGATGGAGTCTGCAAGTTATCCCCAAGAATAATGAATCGCTCCAGGTACTCTGGACTCCAAAAACATAACTTTAAATGACCTGTATGTATGCATTTGTTTATGCATGTTTGTCTGCCCTGTGTGTGTGTGCATTATATTGCCTTGTTATGGACTTCAACTCTGTCCAGGATGTATCCTAACCCCTGTCAGCTCACTGCAGTAAATAAGCACAAGCATATCCCATGGGTTAAGGCCACATTTTATGACCCAATCATTGAGAAGCTAAGGTAAGGTTAATCAATCTTACCTAACGTTAATATATATTTTTTATTGTTTATGGCAAGACATGAGGGCTGCACAATGGCACAGCTTTTAGCACCGTTGCCTTGCAGCAACAAGCTCCTGAGTTTGATTCTCCCAAGCCCAGGGGCTTCCTGCATAAAGTTTGCATGTTCTACCCATGCATTTGTGAGTCCCCCCTGGGTACTCTGGGTTCCCACAGTCCAAAACATGACTATTAGTTTAATTGGTATCTCTAAATTGTAGGTGTGTGTGTGCTTGTATGTATCTCTGTTGCCCTGTGTATCCTGCCTTTCCCCCATAGATTACTGTGACCCTGACTAATAAGCAGGAGAAGATGGATGGCAAGACACGTTGAAAAACAATATTTAAAAAGGCCCTTGTGATTGATAATGTTATTTTATAATGTTTATTTGTTTTGAAACAATTTGCTGGATGATGACGTGATTGTGTTTTTAAAAAAGGTCTTTGGTACAAACCCAAGCCAGGATTTCTTTCCACGTATATAAAATATCCATCTTTGATACCTTGGGTGTGTCTTCACTGTGTGAGGCTTTGCATTCATGATCATGTTTTTGATACCTTGTACATGCTTGTGTTTGTGTGTGTACTTGGTAATTCAGAACGTTTTATTTGTATTTTGCCTGTGAGTTTAAATGCAAAGTGATTACCTTTTTTTTGGTGCAAACTTTTTTGTTCGAATCTAGGGGTTAGTTTAGAGCTACAAGATGTGAATTCGATTGAGGTTCAGGCCATAGAAAGGGTCTAAAACGCATGAAAGTCAATAAGTCCATAAGTCTGTAAAACTACACTGCAAAAAGTTTCATTGTAAATTTACATAAATAATTGGATAAGCTTTGCATGGCCTTCGCTCTATCGATTACAGCAATATTCTTGAAACATACAGCAGTATACCCTCATTTGCTTTCTGTGATATTACAATACATGGCTCTAAAGCACAACTGAAGACTTTAATATCACAGCTTTATTTTATATGGCCTAAGCCAGACCCTTACCCTAACCCACAATAGGGGACTGAGAGAGTTTTTTGCCAGGAGGAGGCAATAAACTGCCTTTTTTGAAAAATTTTAGGGGCCAAACTAAAGGTCACAGGGTCACGGGCCCGGGGCCCCATCAAAGGGCCAACCCTCGTGACCCTTATGCCCGGGTCACCCGATTTTAACGCCCACTCTGAGCCCGTGGCGGACCCCCAAACAGGACAAAGTTTCACAAAAAATAAAATTTTAGAGCAGGTTAGGGTATAGATGCACCGATTGACCACCAGAGGGCGCCGGGACACTTTGTATAACTCAGTATAGGACAATTGGCTGGGGACAACCCGCATTATTGCATATTAGACATTAATATGGATCTAACTATGGGACAGCCCGGTAGTTCTTTTCATTGAGCCAACCCGGGGCACCGAGACATTGCACATGTCTGAGGATCGAGAAACTATGGACAAGATGAGGCATTTGGCGAAGGACAAGATGAGGCATTGAGGGTTGAGACATGTCTTGGGATGAAAGAACGTGCCAACCCGGCGCATTTTGAATGAGCCAAGAGTCAGCATGAACCCAATTTTTGCCTTACCAGGGGCACGGTCACCCAGAGGCACTAACTGATGGACACAGGACTATACTGAAGAACTGGACATGTCTTGGGATGAAAGAACGTGCCAACCCGGCGCATTTTGAATGAGCCAAGAGTCAGCATGAACCCAATTTTTGCCTTACCAGGGGCACGGTCACCCAGAGGCACTAACTGATGGACACAGGACTATACTGAAGAACTGGACATGTCTTCGGAGCAAAGAACGTGCCAACCAGGCGCATTTTGAATGAGCCAAGAGTCAGCATGAACCCAATTTTGGATTTTTTTTTCAAGTTTTACCAACTTACCTGGTTCACAGCGACCCAACAGCAACAACAGATGGACATCTGGCCATATTGAAGCACTGAGACAACCGTCAGCATGTTAAAGCGGAGATTTTGAAACATTTAACCATTTTTGGATTTTTTACAAGTGTGGCCCCTTTAACAGTTGCACCACCACTCAGCAGCGTTAACCAAGGGACATTAAACCACATTAAACCATAGGGACCAAATGTCCAAAATAGGAATAATAAAGGAAGACATTTCTTAACCAATAAATATATTTATTAAAAATAAAAAAGTTTTATAAAAAATTGAGTTCCGGGGGCCCATGGAGCGCCCTGGTCTGGTGCCCCCTGTATGGATGGAGCCTGGATGGATGGGACCCCTTGGATGGATGCTGACCCCTGGATGGATGGTCACCCCTGGATGGTGACGCCTGGATGGATGGGGCCTGGATGGATGCTGATCCCTGGATGGATGGTCATCCCTGGATGGATGGTCATCCCTGGATGGATGGGGCCTGGATGGATGCTGACCCCTGGATGGATGGTCATCCCTGGATGGATGGTCACCCCTGGATGGTGACGCCTGGATGGATGGGGCCTGGATGGATGCTGACCCCTGGATGGATGGTCATCCCTGGATGGTGACGCCTGGATGGATGGTCATCCCTGGATGGATGGTCACCCCTGGATGGTGACGCCTGGATGGATGGGGCCTGGATGGATGCTGACCCCTGGATGGATGGTCATCCCTGGATGGATGGTCACCCCTGGATGGTGACGCCTGGATGGATGGGGCCTGGATGGATGCTGACCCCTGGATGGATGGTCATCCCTGGATGGTGACGCCTGGATGGATGGGGCCTGGATGGATGCTGACCCCTGGATGGATGGTCATCCCTGGATGGATGGTCACCCCTGGAGAGTGACGCCTGGATGGATGGGGCCTGGATGGATGCTGACCCCTGGATGGATGGTCATCCCTGGATGGATGGTCACCCCTGGATGGTGACGCCTGGATGGATGGGGCCTGGATGGATGGGGCCTGGATGGATGCTGACCCCTGGATGGATGGTCATCCCTGGATGGATGGTCACCCCTGGATGGTGACGCCTGGATGGTGACGCCTGGATGGATGGGGCCTGGATGGATGCTGATCCCTGGATGGATGGTCATCCCTGGATGGATGGTCATCCCTGGATGGTGACGCCTGGATGGATGGAGCCTGGATGGATAGCGTGGCTGGAGCACCTTGGCTGGAGGTCCTGTTTGAGTTTCTGAAATATAAAAACAATACATTTATTAGATGTGAATCATTCTGTATGACTGACACTTAATGCTCATAACATAACACGGTTGTCCTGCTGCAGCGGCCAGTACCATAACACACAGGCCCGCTTTTATTCTACCGGGCCCACGATCACAGCAGAACCCCGGTACCATAACACACAGGCCCGCTTTTATTCTACCGGGCCCACGATCACAGCAGAACCCCGGTACCATAACACACAGGCCCGCTTTTATTCTACCGGGCCCACGATCACAGCAGAACCCCGGTACCATAACACACAGCCCCGCTTTTATTCTACTGGGCCCACGATCACAGCAGAACCCCGGTACCATAACACACAGGCCCGCTTTTATTCTACTGGGCCCACGATCACAGCAGAACACCGGTACCATAACACACAGGCCCGCTTTTATTCTACCGGGCCCACGATCACAGCACAACCCCGGTACCATAACACACAGGCCCGCTTTTATTCTACTGGGCCCACGATCACAGCAGAACACCGGTACCATAACACACAGGCCCGCTTTTATTCTACTGGGCCCACGATCACAGCAGAACACCGGTACCATAACACACAGGCCCGCTTTTATTCTACTGGGCCCACGATCACAGCAGAACCCCGGTACCATAACACACAGGCCCGCTTTTATTCTACTGGGCCCACGATCACAGCAGAACACCGGTACCATAACACACAGGCCCGCTTTTATTCTACCGGGCCCACGATCACAGCACAACCCCGGTACCATAACACACAGGCCCGCTTTTATTCTACCGGGCCCACGATCACAGCACAACCCCGGTACCATAACACACAGGCCCGCTTTTATTCTACCGGGCCCACGATCATAGCAGAACCCCGGTACCATAACACACAGGCCCGCTTTTATTCTACCGGGCCCACGATCACAGCAGAACCCCGGTACCATAACACACAGAGCTCTTGGAGCTGAGCTAAACAGCCGGCTACATGCTACCCCGCAGCAAAGAGCCTCGGGCCGGCTGAATACACAGCAGTCACCCGCACACACACACGGTCCGGCAGATGAGCTACCTTATTAGCCTCTGTGATCCATCCAGAGCTCCGGTAGATCGCCTCCCTCCTTAGCCGCTGTGATTCGTTCAAAGGTCTGGCAGATAAATACAGAAATAAATAAATGCTCAATAAATAAATAAGCATACAATTAATTGCCACCAAAAATACAATCAACAAATAAATGTAATTAGAAATTATATTATAATGGCAGGCAGAAATGTTAAAAGGGCAGGCAGAAAGAAATAGCGGCGAAGAAATAACTAGGGTAAAAAAATACAAAGGAAGAATAAAACAGACAAAAATATGATAACATGCACATAAATAAATACTTAAAAATAAAAGTAATTAAAAAATGAAGTTGAAGATAATAAATGACAAAAAATAAATAAGGTAAATATTAAAAACGCAAAGAAATAAAGAAGCCAATTAAAAGAGTTATATACCTTTATGACTAGCTGTATAACTTAATTTCTACTTACATTTATTTGTTGTTTGTATTTTTGGTGGCAATTAATTGTATGCTTATTTATTTATTAAGCATTTATTTATTTCTGTATTTATTTTTAAATATGGCAGAGTTGGTCCTCCATACTGCTGTATCAACAAATCAACAAAAAGGCGGGTTCTGTATGTTACATCAAAATCTCCACAAATCTGAAAAGAAGCAACATAAAAATACATTTTGCTTGTGAGTAGGTTCATACAGGTCATTTCTGGATAGTTTCATATTATATATACAAAAAAAGAAACAACAACACTGCTTCATATTAAGCAGGATTTACACCAGTATCACATTTTTAACTTTTAACACTTTTGGTTTTATTAAAGGAAATATCAGACTTTCTCAGGTGCTAAAACAAAATGTAACAGCTCTGTAAAGGCTCACCAGAGAGCATAACATAAAGTTAACATGACTATAACAGCTGAATGCAGTGATTTCCATGTTGCTCAGCAAAACGCTTCACTAATGTATTTAGATCCAAAGCCTTTGTGCGTTTTGATTTGAGTACAACCAAACTTGATAGTCTCTGTTCTGTCATAGTTGACCGCAAATATGTCTTTATGAGCCTGAGACGTCAGGCCTAACTAACATCATAGATAGAGAAATAACGTTCTGCAACCTGATTTTTATCATCTCAAAATCAACATTGCAGCTATGCTAGCAACATTGAGCTTTCATTATGATTTCATTTCTCAACAGATAGTTAATCAGTTTTTACCTGTTTCATCCCGTTTCTCCTCTCCCCATCACCCCTGGCTCCCTCGCTTTGCCTCATTTGGTTTTCAAAACAATCAGTCTCAGTCGCTCTCACGTCATTTCGTGCTGCATTCACTGCAGTCCGGCATTGGAAATTAGCGGTCGTAATTCTCAAATGATCCATAATTTATAAGCCTCGCCACCCCTACAGCCAACTGGGGTGGCAGCTGGGGTGGCAAGGCTGTCATTTAGGGTGGCATTTGCCACCCTATGCCACCCCAGTAGATCCGCCTATGCTGGTTACGTGCACTGAAGTGTAAATGGAAATAAAGTAGTTAACCTAAATCTATTGACTTTTTACTGTATTTCAAGTAGGCCTATAGGCTCATAGGTCTTTTGTCCAAAAAGAACAAAAACAATTTATAGCACCCCCTGTTCAAAATGACCTCCAGTGGCCCTGGCTTCATCGTTTTCATTTCTGCTTTTTATCTTCTGTGGGGTTTTTTTTATTTATAGTGTGACATTCTAGGGCTGTTTCTATTCAGATCACATGGGGAGGAGTCTTGTCATCAAAAGCAACTGAACAAAAAAAAAATTGAGAGAAACGTTTCTGCTCTACAGAGCTGAAGTTCAGGATGCAGCTGTATGGAACTCTTGTCCTAATTTTAACTTTCTCTACTGGTAAGATTGTCTCTCACTTTTAATATAAAAGGAAAATGTAAAACAGGCTTTATTTAACTAATTGGGGTAGTTGTTTAAAGTTTAAAAGTATTATCCGACTCTCTGTATTTAATGTTGGCATGAATAGTTTTAGAAAATTTTTTATTTATTCAGGTTTTATACAAAATCCATAGTGTTATTTTAAATGGAGTTCTTGATTTGTTCATTTCTTTATAGGAGAGTAAAGACAGATTGTAGTCAATAATTAACACCAGATCATTCTTGTTAAATAATCACATTAAAGTGCTTTAAAACAAAAAAAAATTATCAGACTGAAAAACTTGACTTAAAACTTTTTAAACATACTTGTAAATATGAATCAGAAATAGTTGGTCAAGTTTGTTGTCTTATTTGTTGCTCATGTGGAATTTTTGCTTTTAAGTTGTTGTTTCTCTCTTTGTTCTTTACTTAGCATGTGGATTGAGATGCTACTCGTGTAGCACAGTTGAGTCATGCACAGATATCCAAACCTGTCCTGAGCAATTTAACCGATGTTTTTCTGTCAAGATACAAGGTAAGATGTTATTTATCTGAAGAACTATGTTATTAAAAAACTTCATTACCAAAAACATGTTCATATTGTAATCATGTTTTTGTATGAGCACTTTATGGCCATTATACAGTTTATTCATACTGATGAGTTTCCTCTTTTGCTTTTTAAGGATTGGTTACCAAAAGCTGCATGGCCAGTGTAGCATGCATTGGTGCCATGAACTGCTGTGAAGGGGACCTGTGCAATGGAGCCATACAAACCGGGCCCGGTCTCATCCTGCTGCTTCTGTCTTCAGCCCTGATGATGCTCTTTGTTTAAGGCTTCATTTTATTTTGTTTGTTTTTTGGTGTTGTTTATTTGCTATTGTTTGAACTCTTGGCAGCTAAGCTGCAGGAAGCCAGTACGGAATTGTGGTATTTTTATTCATCATGTAATCTTAATCAGTAAGAATATGTAAGCCACAAATTAATAAATTGTTTACTCAACAACCATGTCTGTATGTTGATAATTTTAGTGTTATAAATTAGCAAGTCTAATTTTCAATATTCAAGTTTTAAAATATGAAGCATAGCAGATTGTTTCAGTGGCTACAAACCTATGAAATGTTTACCTCTTGCCAACAACAAATTATGTTTGACGTTTGTTCCATCATATAGTCTGTGTGAATGAGGGGTAAGAAGAGCAACAGCGACGGCAGACATTAAACTAGAAGAATCTAATAAGACAAAATACCGTAACCATAGAGGAGTGCACTGATAAAGCAACACCATACTTACAGTAATAAATACGGACAAAAACTATTTAGTCAAGACAGGGCATTGCAGGAAAATTGTCAAAATAGAAATATGGAAAAAAAAACCTGCATCATAACTTGAGGGATCTTAACTCTAAAAAAACAGACATGGAAAGTATTTGGGCTGACATTTTTGATATGAACCTGAATATTAAGCAACTAGGGATTTCCAAAAAGACAATAGTCCAAAAAACACACTTCCTTTTTTCCTTATGCTGCTGACGTTAAGTGTAGATGTAAAGAAGTTTTCCTGCTCCAAATATTTAAACTAATAAACAAAGAGCTGACATATAAGGACTCTATTGTCTCAGTTTGTTCAAATCTTAATCAACAACATAAACCTTCAGCAAGGTAAAGAGCAAACCTTAAACAATTTGCATTTTTGGTAATATTGCACTTTTCTTTACACACTTTGATTTATACCAAAGGTTTGGAGTGCATTACCTGGGAATAACAGGGGGTTGTGTAAATACATGCTGAGTTAAGTTCATGAAAAACATGACTGAAATTAAATTAACTAAAATGAATGTATCAGGTCAAGTATATTAGGTTAAGACAAAGTCAACAAAGTTAAAACATCTCTTATTTTTTACATTATTTTGTACAGCAGCAGGATCAAATCAGATCAGAAAGTGCATGAAAAATTACACAGCCTAAGATACTTTAGAAGCTCTTGATAGCGCAGATGAAAACGTTTTCTTTTTTTTTTTATCTTAAATGAAAAATGTTCACACATTGTTTTACAATGTTGGTACAATAACTGCTCTAAGTGGGTTACTCTGTCAGCTAAAGATATATTTTAGTGTCTCTATGCTCCAATTAATAATTAATCCATTATGAGTGGACGATTATTCAATAATTGATTAATCACGAATAATTCGATTAAGTGGTTCAGCCCTCAATCTGAACATAGAACAACTAGTTATTACCGTAAAAGACAATAGTCCAAAACACACACACATCCTTTTTTTAGTTCTGCATTTTTTTTGTTACCGTGAGAAAAAAAATGCAGAACTAATCTCCAAACATCATGTAGCAAACAAGCAATAGTTTATCTTTGACGTAGCCTATATTGTTTATTGTTCTCTAGTTTGTTTCTTCAGATCTTCATCAGAAACATAAACCTTAGACAGCCTTAAACAACATAAAAAGCAAACCTAAACAATTTTTGTTTTTCCTCAGAATTTACTGCAAATCTGATGTATTTAATTTACCAAAAGGTCTGATGTGTATCAAATTGGGAATAATGGGGGATTACGTGACTAAATGCTATTTTAGTTCATGGAAAAATTTACTGAAATTAAATGAACTCAAATTCATGTATTACTGTAGGTCAGGTATCTCGTATCTGAACAAAGTCAACAAAGTTAAAACCTGAAGTGTTTTTTACATTGTTTGGCACAGCAGCAGGTTTAAATCAAATTAGGAAAGTGCATGAAAAAATGACACAGCTTAAACCTCACAAAAACATACGCTGATGTCCTACAGCATTCCTAAAACTGAATTTGGAATATGACTAACAGATTTGGACAAAATAATTTTCCTAGTTTTTTTTTTTTTTATTTATACAAACTATGTTCATCATATTACAAGGATGGACATATGCATGTATGCTGAGGCTTAAGGCAGGTAAGAGAACAACATATTAAAAACAGAAAAAGGAGGAATTAAACAAATTCAGTTCAATTCAGTTTATTTATATAGCGCCAATTCACAACACATGGCATCTCAAGGCACTTTACAGTTAAACCAGATCATACAGTCAAATTGATTCAAAGTTTTCTATCTAAAGAAAACCAGTTGATTGAATCGACTCATTGACTGGGATGCAATCCCTTAGCAGATGACATTATAAATACAGTACGAAATTCTATGATAGCGGATTAGGAGGGCATCAGGAAATGCAAAGAGGTCACCTGAGAGGGGCAGCCAGTGATCAAGACAGTCTGTACACCATTATCCAAAGCAGGGTTCCCTCAGGGCCCACCATGTTTCATATCCATTACAGTTGATGTGTCTCTACACGAGCACACCCAATTTAAATTATTGCATTACCTCCTTGGCAGCCACCAAATGCTGCAAAAGCCTATTATTCACCTTTTTATTCAAGTCAGGCTTGTAGAGGCAGGGAAACACCTAAAACATGCAGGACAGAATACCACTACCTATTCTTGGCTTTGAAACAAGTCAGAGAAGCTCTTATGATTTAGATTAGAAATAAAAAGACACAGTAGTTTATTGAATGGAACATTGGCAAAACACTTTGCTTCAGATTGATGAGCTATCTCCTAAAGTCGAAAACAGTAAAGGTCCTGTTATTTCTTCTTAAAGAAATAAAACAGACTTTTTCAGGTTTACAGTGAACAACAGTGATATCAGAATACTTCAAAAGTGAGCTGATTTGTGCCAAAGTAAAATAATCGGTTCTATAAGGAAGGAAATTCATCTTTTTGATTGTTTTAATTTTTTATCATACTTGTTAGAATTTCCATTTAATTTTAGATTAGCATGTTTTAAGAGGAGCTCATGGTGAACTGTTTTGCTAACCTCAGTTTTTGCAGCTTGTTCGATGAATGGAAACTATGGGGTGGTGGAACGCTGTTGGTGTTAGTGCCCCACAACCACATGTAGAAGTAGGTTCCCATAGGAAATATCTGATTCTCACAGAAAAAAAAAAGCCTCTGTGGCAAACATATGTTTTTCTTTTCTGACTCACTTAGGAAGTAATGAGTTTAAAAACTGGATTTGACTTTTATTGTTTTAATGTGTATCCACTGCAGGAATTTATGGACCGGGGCAAAGTTAAACTGAACAAAGGCTGTAAAAACTGTTATACACCTCACAAATGAAAACGCCCACATGTTTAAGTTTTGGAACCGTGGTAATTATTTATTTATGACAAGTGTTATATTTTCTAAACACCATACACAGAATCAGTTTCTATCAAACCTGTGACATATGAGAGTGTAGCAGCTGGTTTGGTCTAGATTGGAGGTGCTTCACCAGTGCTGTCCCTAAAATGAAAAGCGAGCTTGATCGTTTCAATAATCAGTGAAACAGAAACTGTAAATTCTAAGACTGAGAGAGGAGCATGTTTGAATAATTATTCAATGGACATGTTTTATACATTTATTTAAATACTTCTTAAAACCCCCTTTCCTTTAATATGTAGCTTTAAAAAATGAGATATCATCAAGTGAAAATCTTGCCACTTTCTTTCATTTTGTGGCAATAATTTTAGGAAAATCCTTCGGGAATCATTTTAGAGATTGAGATTAAATAAATCCATTAAATCTTGAGAATGTGGACACTGTATTAGTTCATCTACTGCTTTATTCACTTATTGTATTACAAGTACAATGGATCTATTTGTTTTAGGTTATGAATCTTATTTATTCTTCTGGAAATGATCCTCTAGATGTCTACCTGTTTTGCACCGCTCTGCTCTGCTGTTGTTTAGTGACCCCCATTAATAATGAGAACACAAAAGTACTGTTTTCTTCAAAATCAGTTAAAGACCTGAGAAGAATCGGTTTCCTTTGGTCATGGAAGATTTTGCTGCCAGAGAGAGAAAAACAGCATAGTTCATCTAAGACCAGAGATCTAGACGATCAAATTGCAGGAGTTGGCCATCAAAGTGTTGGGATCCTCAGGCTTGCCCACCAGAGGGCGCCGAGGATCCTCTTCTGCTCTTTGTTACTTTCTTTTAGACTGGAGTCTGGAGCTTTACCACATTCCTCCAGCAGAGTGCGCCGTGGGTCTCCTGGAGCTGGAATCTTCCTGCACACCTGTTGTTAATCTACTCATCAGGAGACCTCCCCTTTATAAGCTCCTGCCAGGCCTTGCTTCACGCCGCAGTGTTGATCTTAGTTTGGTTAGCTACCTGAACCTCTGTTACTGATAGAATCTTAGTTGTCTCTAGTATGAGATCAGATTCTAATCTCTCCTTTGTCTGTGCCTCACAGGAAACCTGTCTCTGGTCTGAAGCTCAGGAAGAGCTGCCTCACTGGAACCCTGTCTCTGGCCTGAAGCTCTGGGAGAGCTGCATCACAGGAAACCTGTCTCTAGCCAGAAGCTCTAGGTGAGCTTAACCTGCTAATCTGCCCTGGTGAGCCAACCTGAAGATTCTTATGTGGATTTAACCTGAAGACTTCTATGTGGAGTTTACCTGAAGATTCCTATGTGGAATCAGCCTGAAGAATCCTATGTGGATATTCCCTGTTGTTCTCTGCAATGAGCTGGAAGCTCAGCCTGAAGAATCCTATGTGGATATTCCCTGTCGTTCTCTGCAATGAGCTGGAAGCTCAGCCTGAAGCATCCTATGTGGATATTCCCTGTTGTTCTCTGCAGTGAGCTGGAAGCTCAGATCTTGGTCTGCCATGCTAAGCCTGAAGCTAGACGCTTAGCTTCTCATGAACTCTGCTAACCAACAGTCTCCAGTCACAGTCAAGACTTCAGTGAAACATTCTCAGAACTTGTTTATTCTCTCGTGTTCAGGACTTTAATAAACATTTGAACTTTTTCCCTGCCTCCTCCGTGTGTGTTCTGCATAAGGGCTTGCTCCCTTAGATCCATCATGACAGAGGACTCAAAATAGGCCCACCAGTTACACATCAAACTGTTAGAGTTCCCTGCCAGCCTGACCAGACACCTGAACCCGTCACCTTGGTTTCTAAACCTGTTCCCATGCCTGAT